ATTGAAGTTTTCTCGGGAAGAATTTCTACCAGAAATTATCAAACGAGCAGAGACATAACACGACATTATACTACCCCCAAACAATTTTGTAGTCTATGACCTGGAAAATCGTATTCACTACAGAACCATTACGCCACCAGAGGCCGGCCTTCCAGTGATAGAAAGGAGTGAAGAGCAAATGAAACAGAGCAGAATACAAAAAGACATGTGGTAAAAGCCAAAGCTCAACCATCGGGATTATCTTTGGAAAAACATTGGCAGAAGAACAAATAAATAGTTAATTTTAGAAAATATTTCACCGGAAGTAAGTCGATCTACTGAACAGTTTGAGGTTCCTTTACAGAGTACCATAAGAGATGGAGCAACTAGTGGATTACCTTAATCATCTTTCTAAAGAGAACTACTTCAGTGATAAGAAGTATATGATGAAAAAGGACAAAGTTATCCCATTCTTGAGCCATAACCTATGGAAAAGAAAATAATCAAAAACGATTTTGTGACTGTACAGTTTAGGGACAATGAATGGCAAAGAAAGAAGATTTTGATTTTGATTTACGCGTTTAGTTGATGATTTAATTCTTATAATGTCTATAATTATGAATACTAATGTTGTTAATTGTCAAGAGTTATTTCATTAATAATTATGGAAGCTTAAGTTTAATGTACCATTTACAACCCAGGGATGGAGCAGTGTTTTAGCTATGATTAATTTAACTTCAACGTTGGAATTATTATTATTATCATATTTAGTATAGGGAGTTATCTCACGTGATGAGATCATGGCTTAAGATTTGGAATTTTCTTGAAAGTTTGGAAAACGATTTAAACAATATAAAGTGCGAGTTACACTAGAGCATTGTTGATTTTATTATTGAGTTAATAGGTTTGTTAGTCGGTTTGTCTGTTACTGTAAGCTAGTTAGTCAGTAATTTAGTTTCGGAAATTTTGAGTTTTTCAATAAATTATTAGAGATGTGAGAAAACACCATACGTACGAGAGAAAATTAGCAAGGAAATGACTATTTAACATTATCTATAGCTTTGTGAAAATTAGCTCAACGTATCAGCATAAAAGTAAAACTACAAGATGTAGAACTTGTAGTTGAATAAATAAAACTCTTTCGTTATTATAAATTGGATTTGGCATTCTTATTTTTCACCAAATAATCAAAAAGAAGATGCCCGACAACAGAAACCGTTACAACAGCATATTCTTTTTTCACTGACTAATTTAAAAGAGACAACCCAACAATAAAAATCATTACAACAGAAGAATGTGAAGTCCAA